AGCCTCCAACTCTTGGGCTTAAGTGAGTCTCCTGCCTCAGCCTCCCAAGTAGCTGGGACCACAGGCACCCGCCACAGCGCCCGGCTATTTTTTGGTTGCAGCTGTCATTGTTGTTTGGCAGGCCCAGGCTGGATTCAAACCCACCACCTTAGGTGTATGTGGCTGGCACTCTAGCCGCTTGAGCCACAGGCGCTGAGCCCACAACCACTTTTTAAAATAAAAACTACCTTTCAAGGTTTTTTAAATGGCATTTGCTGTTAAGGAAATTTTAATCACAGTCCTTAAAAGATTAAATGATACTTTGTCCCAAAACAAAACAATTACAACATGGCTTTAAAGCAAAATTGACTTCAACCACTTTTATTTAGCAAATAAGAAAAGTAAAGGTTTGACTTGCAAAATACTCTTTTCTGTAACATTCAGATGGCTTTGGTTGCAAAATATATGGTACTGTACTTTGAAACTTTAATTGATCTTTATGTATTAATATATAGATATTTCTTGGTTAAGATAAATTTGATCTTATTATACAGTTGAATTCTCAGGAGAAAACCATCACCTAAAACCTGATGTTGACTGGGCATGGTAGCTCACTCATGTAATCCCAGTAGTTTGGAAGGCCAAGGTAGGAGTATTCACTTGAGGCCATGGGTTCAAGACCAGCCTGGGCAATGTAGTGAGACCCAGTCTCTTGCAAAGCTGAAGCAGGAGATTCTCTTGAACCTGTGAGTTGGCGGCTGCAATGAACTAAAAATAACCTTTGTCCATTTTTGGTTTGCCTTTGGGACACTATACTAGATATTTTAAGAATATTATCATTTCATGGTACTTTTTGTGAAGAGCTTTACATTTTACAAGGTGTGGATTAATGAGGCTGGCAATGGTTTCTTACCAAATTCCTCAGTGTTTAGCAAGGCCTTCAGTGGTGTAGGAAGTTTGTGCAGGAGATGATTAAACTGGTCCATGAACCGCATGTCTTTACGCCCTTTTGTGTAGGGACAGGGTTCAGCAATACAAAGCAGCCTGACCTATTCACTCACCAAGAATTTCAGCATTTTTTTTCCTTTCTTAGTTCCTTGCTCTGTTGCCTGGGCAAGAGTGCAGTGGCCTCATCATAGCTCATTGCAATCTCAGGCTCCTGGGCTCAAGTAATCCTCACTCAACCTCCCAACAAGCTGAGACTGCAAGCACTACCACCATGCCTGGCTCATTTTTCTACTTTGGTAGAGCCCGGTTCTCGCCCTTGCTCACGTTGGTCTTGAACTGCTGGCCTCAAGTGATCCTCCTCCCTGGGCCTCCCAAAGTGCAAAAATTACAGGCATGAGCCACTGTGCCTGGCTAATTTCAGCAATCTTGATGAGCAGAAGGAGACTCTGAAGATATGCTGGGGCCTAATGAGGCATGGGCCACGATGTCACCTTCTTGGGTTCTTCTCAAGCTGCTTGCCTCTAGGTTACCAGTTTAGTTATGGCAGTTGGTTTGTCATGAATTCTGCAGAGCAGTGATTCTGACTCTGTCAGAGACCCTTAGAGATGAAAGCCATGATGGGCTCTACAGAAAATGTATTCTGCCTTCAGCGGAGACGACAACGCCCAGGCACAGGGTGACAGCTGTGACCGCTGCTATTTGCCCAGTTAAGGAAACAACTGTCAGGTATTTCGTAGGCCTGCCTTTCTGGCTTCACTCTTGCGTGGGACTCGTCCCGCGTGGCTTGTTGACGAGCAAGTGGACAAGTCTCTTTAGGATGTCGACAGAGCTTTGGTACACCGGGGCTTCCTCGTTAGGGGCGAATTCTGCCAGACCTTTGATAGAAACAAACAGGAAGATTCGTGCGCAACGGAAACCACCCTGGAATGGTTTGGATAACCCGGCCTTTCCTTCCGCGCTCTGGGCCGGACCCCGGCCGCTGGCCCCGCCCCCGACCGGCCCCGCCCCCAGGGCCCCGCCCCCGGCCGGCCGGGCATGCTCAGTGGGCCAGGCCGGCAGGTTTGCGTGGCCGCTCAAGAGTTGCCGGTGGCTGCCGAGCCTGCCGACGCCGCGTCCCTGCCCGGGGAGTTCGGGTCCGGGGAAATTCGCGCGGAAGCCAGAGACGCCGGGAGGGCTGTGGGCACGGCCGGAGGCCCCCAGTGCTGCCGAGTGGCGAGCAGGCGGGCGGGGCCGACGTGGCCGGGCTGCGAGAGCTCCGGGAGGCCGAGCGGGCGGCCGCGCTCGCAGGGAGGCGCCGGCCAGACGCGCCCCGCGGAGAAGACCCGGGCGGGGCGGGCGCTTCCCGGACTTTTGTCCGACTTGAGTCCCCTCCCCGTGGGCCGGGCCTTTCCGGCCGCCCCCGCCCCGCTCACTCCCGGGAGATGTTTATTTGGACTGTGGCGTGAGGAGCGGGCGGGCCGGCGGCGCGGAGTTTCGGGTCCGAGGAGCCTCGCGCGGCGCTGGAGAGAGACAAGATGTCCGCCAGGGCCGCAGCCGCCAAGGTGAGCGCCG